CGTAAATTAAAGCAGTAAAATAATCCCTGTGTGCCATTTTTCTCAAATGTTGTGTCAGGTGTACTGTGCTGTTACTCACGTTGCTCGTGAAGCCGGGTCTGGTGCTCAGAGAGAAAAGCGTGACTTCAGTCCGTCGGTTGTCAGTTTCGGAGTGAACTGGACTGAGCGGAACTGAAACTTCCGCATATAAGCCAGCCCCATCTGGCTGCCGGTGGGAGGGTTCACAACAGCGTGTGTGAGGTTGACGACCGGGGGCGACGCCACTACTACAGGCATGGGCTTGTTCAATGAGCCACGGTGCAAGGGGAGTAGTAGCAGAGTAGTTTCAAGGCTAATGCTACCTTCAAAATGTAGCTAAGTTCGTTCCCCCTGAGGCAAGTGATAAAACCCGGTCTTAATATGCAAAAAAGACCAACAATCACCACCTGTCAGAATGCTTGTAAACCCTCCCACGTGTTCACTAAAATGATTATGGTGCACTTAGTCCAGGAAGGCCCAACGTGTACCTCACCATTGGTTTCATATTCATGCATTCATGTTTTTTTTCTGTACTGTAGCCTAGAGTTGGTTTTAAACACTGGAAGAAGAAAAAGAGGCTGTTCAACCACGTTATTTTCTTACCTTCAGCTGGAGTACGATTTATGTCCTGGGCTGAACAGTGAATAATGTTTTAACTCTTCACCAAGTTGCAAGTTTTGGGGCAAAGATAGCAGCCAGAAGTGAGATTTTCGAGTTTGTAATACTTGAGAAAAACAAATTTTTCCAATTATAGCCTTGGAGAAATTATAAACAAAGGAAACTTTGATTAAGATATATTAAATTGATAGAAATACTTGATTTTTGGGGATGGGTGTCTTTTTAGGGTTCCATAAGCTTTGATTTTGATAGGCTAAATCCAAAGTCATCCTAATTGTTGGTATTTGTGTGCCACTAATGTATTAGACAAATTTAACTCAATAACTATATACATAAGCTCTTAAAGGGGTTATTTTCTATAACAATGCCATCTGTTGATTAAGACTTTCCTGGATGATTTGTCTCTCTCTTAATAGCTTGTTAAATATACCCTGGATTGGATTAATCTTAAATTAAAATCAAGTAGTTAAAATGTTGTCACTGGTATTTCTGAGTCAAGGAAAGTGATGTAATTCAGGCAAGGAAGCAATTTGTCAGTGGTCATGAATATATTAAGGAAATATTTGCGTGACGTTAGAAAAGAAATATTTAACATGTGACAGGGCATCAGCTTACCTTATGGCATCAATGGACAGTGATGTCATTCTTTCCACTAAATGCCTCCTGTATACTTGTCAGTCAAGTCAAATGCCATCATCATGTACAAGCCTTTTAAACCACCTGCAGAACATCAGAGTATCGGTGTTCAAATTAAAAAAACTGAACAAATGTACTGTCTTCAGTATCTGAGATACAAAACACATCAATTACTCCTTTAGAATTATTTGTGTTTTGACAGTGGCATAGCATATCTTGTATATATTCTAGGTGTTTGATTACATACAGTTACAGTTTCCCAGCAGAATACCACAAAAATCATTTTTGACTACATGTTTTAGGATTTCATTGAGTGTTTTCACTTTTGCTTTGTATTTGTGTGTTCTTACTCCCTATAAAGCATTTTGTCACTTTGTTATTTTTAATATTTTATTATCCATTATTTATTTGATATTCATTGTACAGTCACTGTGATATGGCAGTGATTGCAGCATTTAGTGTTTACCCAGATTTTAGTGGCATGGTGTTGGTATGCTCTCTAGTGGTCAGCAAAGAAATAGCATACTTCACAGTTAATGCAGATACTTTGGATTTCAGCCAACATAAGATACAACATATGGCTCAAAATGTTAAGGTATAATTGACACGGTTTTAAAAAGTAAGATTCGGTTTGGTTGCCATTCAGTGTGCTATGGATATTTATGGCCCCCTTTACTTATCCTCTAGCGCCACCATCAGGAAGCAAGTGTTTCTTATGCACAAGTAGTTTCTTAGTTTCTAATCTGGTCTGCTGTTGAAAGTGAAGCACAGCATGAATTTTTGCAAATCTATGAGACGACAACTCTGGACATTTTTCATGTGTACGATCCATCAGTATCAGTAAAGTATGATTATAGTGTAATCCACGGTTTCAATCAGGACAGGAATCAGTATACTTAGGGTGTCAGCACTCTAATGACATTTTAATCACAGTGGTGTTTCACGTAATTTTAGAGGACAAGGCATTCCAAGCTTCATCATGGATTCGATGTGTCCTACTAATTTCTGACTTGATATGAGTGAATATTACTTTGTCTAACTGTCTACATCAGCTCTCTGATGTCTCTTGCATCCTTTTATTTTTGCACTGTGGTATTTTGTTAAATAAACATACAGCGATCTATGGTACATGTTAAAAAGCCTGACCTATTTGGCAGATTACCAGATTACCAACTGCTCAAAGCCGCTGAAGCTAGATACTAATAGCTGTTTGCATTGTACTACATAGACCAGCTGGACTTTCTTTCAACTATGTGTGTGCCATGTCAATATATGGTTATAAAGTGATGGGAAGCCCAGCAGCAAAATCCCCCTGTGCAATGCTATTGAACCACTGAAGTGTACGGCTTATGTAAGGCTGTAGTACATACCTTTAGATCATCTTTACATAACTGGATAAGCAAACAGCTCAGGAAATCCTGGACGTAATGTTCAAAGACAGTTCAGAAAGGACTTTTCTGGGTGTTTGAATTTGACGATAGAATAAATTTTAAGTGTCTGGATTAATGGACTCAATATCTGAGGCAACTGTATTGTATGTGGTTACATGAGCATATTAGTAAAAAAGGAAAAAAAATGCATAATGTAGCACAGTAAGCCTGTGCTAATAGAGTCATATGTTCAACAGATCCATGCTATCATGGACTTTGGTCATCATGGTGGCTCAGATGGTCACAGCACATGAATTGTAACTGATGTGCCCTGGTTTTGAATCCAGTGTGGGGCATCTCTTAGATGTCAACCCCCCCACCCCCCCCAAGTAGTTCAAGTAGTTATAGCAACAAACTATATTTCTTTAGCAGGCTCTCACATTTGATAAATAATTTCTACTAAAACTACTAGAAGGTCATGTTGATAATGCAGGCTCTATAATGCAACCTTATGCACAGACTCGATGAAATTATGCATAACACCATATATCAAAGTTAATTATGCATAAGTTGTTGATCATAACACTTGATAACAGCACTGGAAAATTGACATCTGTATTAAAGAAGAAACTGTTATGATTTCTTAGCTATAGCAAGCTGTAAAGACACATTTCTCTGAAGAAGTATTAATGTCTTTTTCCCTGTAGATCGAAGTAAAAGAAATTATATAGGCTTTTAGTTTCAGTGATGTGGTGTCAATTTTTTTTTTTTTTTGCAAGAAGACTACTCAGAAAAATCTGTTGAGAACCTAATGATGTTTATTTCCCCCAACACACACAGCAACATGTCAGTGATCATGGCTGTGCCAGTTCTGTTCCTGAGAATAAGAACTGATAATTATGATATCGAAATGTATCATAACGGATGATGATGTGTGATACACCAGTGTCAACTGCTTTTATGACAGTTTGGTAGCTGAAATGTGCACACACTTTGGATGGCAAAGTTCTTTATGTCAGAAACGTAAAACACTGATCTTGAAGTAGCTGCAGTGAGCGAAAAATCTTGGATTGTATAACATATATTTACTAAAGTGCCTGAAGTCATGATACAGCACGTAATGTCAGCAACTTACAAAACATGATGAATGCTGTTATACAGCATCATACAATGAGTTCTACAGTCACTCATAAATGCATTATAGACTTAACAAACATGTTAACAGCGCATTATAGACATGGCATTCACAAAAAATAGTAACCAAATGTTGTCATTGCTCATTTAAATTAGCAAGGTTGATAGCTAGCCTTAGTTGTAACGTAAACAAATATATAAAGTCAGCTTCCACACAAAGCATTACAAAAAGTTTTCTTTCTTTTATTTTGACAAGAAAAAACATTTTTCTAAATGTCCTTTCAAATGTAGGTTCCATTTGTAAGACTTTTCTTTGTTTCACCGGGACAGTGTTGATAGTACTGAGGGCTCGCCTTTAATAAAAAAACCAAAGGTAGCATTATTATGTATGTTAACAGCTAGCCTGAACAGGAGAGGTGTGTGTACATACGATTGCACATAAACCTATGAAACAAATGTATTTGGTTGCTCTGCATGGCCAAACAGTTGACATAAAAATCTTAACAGCTGCTTAAAAACGTTAGCTTAACATTCCTGGACAAAAAACAAACTTGTTTCCTCTGCCGTGTTACAGTAACACGTAGCCACATAGATAAACATATTCACATTTAGCTTCCTGGCGTTGGGTTAGGGTTAGAGAACTCTTTGCACAGACTCAAATAGTTGAGCAGAACAGTCTAGAGGCTCTAAGCTGAGCAACAGCTCTCTCGGTTTGCTCTGTGTGTTCTGTTTTTCCTCGCAGTGGCCATGGTGCGGAAGGCCTTTCTTTGAGTTGGGTCTGATGCTGGCATGGGAGTGCATACATACAGTATTGTCCAGAGAGTCCGGCTGTATGAGGACCTGCAATTGCCTCTCATCTTCCTCCGTCTGCACTTGTCGTGTCTCTCTCTGTTCATGTTCACCTTCTTGTTCCTGTTCTTTCCCTTGCTCATCTTTCTGTTTCTTCTCTTTATTCCGGCGTTCAGGGCTCTCCTCCTTTCCCCTCCCCCTGGCACAGGAGGGCATTACCATGTTGACAGATTCAGGCAATAGGTTGCGGTCACATCTGTTCAGTGAGCCTTGCTCTGGGATGGAAGTCTAGAGTAAAAATTAAATAAAATAAGAACACAATTGGCGTAGGTCTTTTTGTGAATACATAACTGTGCTGATATATATATATACCGTTTAAAGCCTTTGACTTAGAGATGATTTGTTTTTAAAATCAACAAATATAATGAGGAGCACCTACCTTACCTGTTCCTGGCTTTGGCTTCCCTTTTCCTTGGTCGGTTTAGCCAATGATTTGTACTCTTTGTCCATCAGAGCTGAAAGGGAATAGCTTGACCTCAAACAATGGCTCTGGTCGATGGGGTCAAGCTCCACATCGCTCCAAACCTGCTACAGGGGACATGGACATGAATATATGTATATCGAGTTAAGGATACAGCACAGCAGTAAATATATATTCATGGCACCTTAAGGAGAATAATGTTTATTCTACATTGGAATCTCTGCCATTGCTGATAAGTGCTCACATTTGAATTTGAATTGGAAAAGTTAATACTATGTATTTATATAGTCCCTATATAAAGAAATTTATTTAAAGTCCACACTTCATGACGCAGCTTTAGACTTAGCTTGCCAAAAGACAGCTCTTATGCTATACCAAGCACAGGATCAAAATGAACACAGAAAAGACCTCTACTGAAATAGACACAACACATTGAGTGCATTTGACTTCTGATTTCTGTAAACGCACCACTGAAGGTGCTGCTTGATCTGTGTTTCCCTGTACTCTTTAAAAGCCTAAAGCAGAAGCCAAACTCACTGTGTCTGACGTAGACATGGAGGAAACTCTGTGAAACTTGGTGTTGGAGACTGATGACTGTCTGCTCAGCATTGAGTCCTTGAAGGACGATTCACTGTGTGACACTGATAAGCAGTTCCTCCTGGGGGTCTGGTCTAGGAAGTGTAGACAGGGAACCTTTTCTGCAAGCGTGTCCCTGTTGAAAAATAGGCATTTCTCAATAAAAGCTCCATATCTTTTTCAAGCTTAGGTTGGCAATTACTTGGATCACCACACTCACCTGTATTTGGAGTGAATGATGGCATAGATAAAAGGGTTATAGATGGCTGATGCCTTGGCTATAACAGCAGGGACAGCTTTGGAGTAGGGATTGAGGATGTTTCCATATCTGAAAAGTGTAAAGCATTTGTGAAAAGTAGAACTGTACACCACCACTGGTACTGTAGTGTGAGAAAATCACATAGTATTTCATGATGCCATATATAATGATATTCCCCAAGAGGTGGAATTATGGGTCATGGTTAATGGCAGAAATGAATTGCAGAGTGCAAGCAAGCATCATATATGTTTTTATGTTTTATGCAAGGGTCTACCAAGCTGTCTATACTGTCAGACTATTAAAAAATAACATCAAGGCATCAAACACAGCCCTTGTCGTACTGTATATTTACCCAGCCCAGGCGATGAGGGTGACACATGCATAGGGCGACCAGGAAAGCACAAACACTATGATGACCACAAAGGCAATCTTGGCCAGCTTCCATTCAGTCTTGATGGACTGCTGCTGGATCAGGGTTGACTTCCTCACCTGAGACCCCAACTTCTCCACATTTCTGTTTAGACAGAGAGAAGGAACATTGAGCCTTTTCACAGGCTAAATTGATGAAAATACACAAACTCAAAGTAGTAAACTGCAAAGTTTGCAGACTTGTTTTTAACATATGTGTAATGAACACTAGGGCATAGACCCAAATGCAGCAGCAAGGCGAAGCAGACATTGTAGCAAACGGGGCAGGAAGACAACAGGGTAATACATTTGATTTTTTTAATTCCCCCCTTGAATTTTCTTTTTTTTTTTTCTTTTTTCTTTTGCTCTATGCTACTCCAATCAGGATTAAGAATAGTGGAACTCCCTTAAAGATGCCAACCACAATACATTTCCACATGACAAGGACAGACATTAAAATTTAAAATATAAAATACAAGAAACACGATGTAGATACCCTAGTCAGACGAAGCAGGCCAATAGTAACTAACATGCTATGGGTGCTTGCTTAGAGGCTCTGCTGATGGTACGGACCCCACCATCTTTGAAGGATACGTCACACGAAGTTATAGTTTTCACGGGGCTGAATGGTTAAACTACTTCCACCACAACCGAGAAGATATGCGAAACGTTCATCGTGGCATCATCTCAAGATGGTGATGCTGAAAACTAATGTTGTGTTCAGGCATTCCTTTCAACAGGTAAAGTTGAAAACAGATACGTTGCCCTTGAGGTAAATGCTAAAGGTTAATCCCATAGTATCTTGTATGTGGCCTCCAGAGTACAACAAAGAAGAGCTAATTTCTTGCCGTCATTTGAAGAACCCTTTAAAATACGATAGCTTCATCAACCTGCGATGAGGCATTCCAGTCTTAAAATGGGAAGCAGCTACATTCTTGTGTGTATGACAGGTAAATTTGCAAATGTTCAACAGCTACAGGTGTAGCTACAGCTACAGAGGGCTAGAGGAGGACAAGTGAGAAATGGCAGGATCTGAAAACAGATTAAAAGATACTATATGTGCATACACAAAGAGAGATGAGAAAAGAAATGGAACAGAGGGAGATGAGACACAGAAGCCACCATCACAATATATAACCTGCTTACTATCACATTTAACAGACTGTATTGCAGGAAATTCAAGCTTTTTTAGTAACACATAAGACTGTTGGTGTGAAGATGTGCCAGTAGAGGGGAGCTAGAGTCTGCACTTCAATGGTAGGATGATGTTTTATGCAGTTAATAAGTATATTTTTATCATTTCAGTTATTTTCAAAGAGTAAGTTATATTAATATGAATATGCATATTCACCTATATTAATTCATTCACCTGCTTGCTTGTCGAATTGCCAGGAACATACAGAGATAACAGTATGATATAATGCCCAGAGGGATGAAGAATACAAAGCAGCATAACATCAAAGTATAACTTTTATTGGCTGGAGTAGATGTCACGTAGTCCCACGTGCATGAGGTCATCAGTCCCTCTGGTATATATGAACCTTAAGAGAAAAAAATGACAGACAGATATGAAGGAAGTGTGTATGGTCTAAAAGTATAAAAAAAAGGATAGTTGCATAAAAAAATGTATGGAGGTCATAGAATAAGTTACTTACTCCAGCCCAAAAGTGGCGCAAGACTCCAGGCTAACGAGTACAGCCACACCAGGGCAATAATGAGGCAAGTGCGTCTCTTTGAGGTCCATTGTAAGGCTTGCAGAGGTTTAGTGATGACAATGTAGCGGTCTACAGAGATGGCCAGAAGGTTTATCATGGAGGTGATTCCAAATAAAGCTCCACAGAAAGCATACGCTTTACACCCTGTGGAGAAAAATAAAGAAAGAAGCATTTTATTCATAAGTTTCTCACACTGACTGGACGACTGATTTACACGAGATAAGTAACGGGATATTTCAGGACTCCAAATTGCTGGTGACTTTATTTAATATGAAATCACTAAATCCTATATCGGTATTTCCTGCCTTTTTAGATACACGACTGAAAACATTAGCAGCAGCCAGAAAGGAATACATTATTCTAAGACACTAAGAAAACTCACAAAATATTACATGCATGAGATGTTTTTATATTAGATTTTTGGGTACTATGGGTGCTACATTTCATACAAAGCTCCAAACATAAACAACACAAACATGAATGGATACATAAATAATGTGTTAAGTAAATACAGTTAAACTGAATCTAAAAAGAAAAAATACCTGTTTCACCAAAAATCCACCCCTTGTAAAGAGAGTTAACAAAGAAGATGGGTGACTGTGTAATCGCCATGAGGAAGTCACTGACTGCCAGATTCATGATGAAAAAGTTGGGAGGAGTCCGTAGCTTCTTGTTACTGAAAGACATAATGATTAAAAAGTCTTAAATCAGCAGAGCTGAGGATTCAACAAAGCAATATGTTGTTGTGGTCACTCATTATTTTGCACAATACGTTTCCAGAATTGATTAATATAAGAAGCAGAGACAGCTGAAGCACTACACAAAACAAACGTTCAACAAGGTTCAAGAAGTCATTTGCTGTGTTCATTTAAAGCCCATTGCTGCTTTTATCTTGTATCAGATGTAGTGGAAAAACATCGGCTGCCTTTTTAACACCTACATCCAAAATGTTACTTTTTATCACACATCATTCAGATGCTGATATACATATATTTTCATTAACTTGGATTGATGACATCAATGGATTTTGCCAGATATACAGTATGTTCACCCATTGTGGCAACTTGTTTCTATAACTTGTGATACTATGTGGGAACTATGTGGGCCAAAAAAAATCAAGTGTGCTGCTTGTGATTTATAAGTGAAACATTACTGAAGCTTCATTTCAGTAGGAGACCTTGGTGTAAGTACTAAGTGCTACGTCTATTCCATAAGTGCAAAGAGAACGGGTAAAGATGTTAGAATGTTAGAGGTTTTTGAAGAGGAGGTGCTCTCAGAAGAGATGAGTCTGACAAGATTCTTGAAGATAGAGGGATGCCCCTGCTCTGATAGCATTCAGTAAATTGTACCACCATCAGGGAACCACAAGACAAGAGCAGTCTGGTCTGCGATTGACTTGTGTGCTAGACATTCCTTGGAGGAACACAGTGGCCGAGAAGGAGCGTAAGCCTGTATAACTGAGTTCAAGTTGATGTGTGCAGACCCAGACATTTGTCTGTAGGCATTAGTGACTTGAATTTGATTCAGGCTGCCATGGGTAACCAGTGTAGGTCGATGAGTAGCGGAGTGACATGTTCCCCCTTTTAGGCTGATCGTAGACCAGACGGGCTGCAAGATTCTGGAGCATCTGTGTGGGTTTCACTGTGTGTAAAAGGGAGGCCTGCAGCAGGGCACATGGCAGACTTATTGTGTCCAAAGGTTGGTTTTAAAATTACTTTTCAGTTTATGGAAGTCCTGTTTGCCCCAGAGTGGTGTACAGACATAAAGAGAGGCAGAGGTTCAAACCTCGGCCAATGCAAAATCCATTCAATAACTCTCAAATCTACATCCTACTGAACTTAAGTCCACCTCCCTTACCATAACAGGCAGGGGACGGAAATCAATAATAATGGAACATTCTAACACTAACCTTCAGTAACACTATTATTCTAATGGTATTCCTCTCTTAAAGAAAGTTCAGTTCAAAGATTCATCAAAGATGCAAGATTGTAGCTCTTTTAGCACACAAATCACAAGATCATAAGTAATCATAAATGCTGTCCTCTACTGGGGGAATACAAGCACATATTCAATACCAGTGGATTCTCTAGTGAATTCCCTTGTTGGTTCATTGTGGCAAGAAAAACTCTTAGTGTACGCCCTCTGCAACAGTCAGCAAAGGCAATGAATTTTCTTGCTGTGTTTGCAGCTGCAACAAAGAAGAGTCAGGCAAAGCAGATACTTCATCACAAGAGGTCAAAAACCTAATTATAAATGACCTTTTAATTGAGATGCATTTTCATTGAAGGCAATATGAGAACCCCATAAGCCATATGCCTTGTGGATATCCAAAAATTGAACCAGAATTGACAATACAGTATATGCACTTATTGACTTGATATGTATGGTACTTTCCGAGGGGCTGAATGAAACCGAATATGTTGCTACTTACATGGGCTCACTTTATGAAAACCCGTGAACCATGTCTACATGTATACATTTTATAAACAATAATGAGGCTGGAACCATGTCAGGGCCACAGCAGATATTGGCAGTTCTTTTTCTAAGGCTGTGCATGGACACAGATGGTCATGTTGTACTTGAACCTTCTGTTAGCTTTCCACAACTCACTGCACACATCACAGATCGCCTTTTAGCAAATCATTATTGTAAATGTGTATATTTAAAAACTTTGTTACATTGAACAATTGACAATTTTAGAGGGCTACCAGTGTATGGGGACTTTCTCTGTCTGGTGCACTAATGAACTCGGATGAGAAACTAAATCTAGTTCTAGCTTTTCTAAATGCAGGCTCCAGAATATTAACTGTTTATAGCAGCCTTTGCTGTCTTTCATCTGTGAGGTGTCAGTGTAATCTGTGTCAATGAGTATTTTACATTCACATTTATTAGATTACACTTATTTTGTGTTACATAAAAGGAATGGGAAGTCCAGGGACACAGACGAATATTTGTTACAACTGAACTGAGCGCAAAGGCATGTTTCCCATGTCTGAACTTCTAAATTTCAGACTGTTATTAAAGTGCCATAGGTTGAATAAGCTCCATTTATCACTGACAGCCTTTGGGCGCTGTCTTCCTCGTTTTGCCCATTGCCTGTTAAAAGACCAAAAAGAGTAAACACTGCACAGAGAGATAAGTTGTGAGTGTATTTGTGTGTTTACATGCAGGCGAGTGAGTGCGTACCGAACAAGTGTGACTGGAGTAGAGATCGAGTGATGCTGCGTTCGAGATAGCTGTGTATCACTGGAGGTTGGACCTTAATGCAGAAAACATGTCAGGCCCAGGATTGTATCTAACACTTGGTTTTTAACTGCATTCACTGGCATACTATATACCCAGGAGTAGCCATAGTGTATATATGACGTATACTCTGGTATGCGTAAATATATTTAATATATTTTCTTCATATCCTTTCAAGTGAAAAAGTATGCAGAAACTGACATCAGTTTTTGGTTCTGAATGTGTATTAAATGTAAAGAGGATTTTTGCCATAATTACATAAGCTGGCACAATGACAAATTGCAAAAGAAAAAAAAAAAGAAAAAACATTTTTTCTCTTACAGAGGGATAATATACAATAAGTCTTTATCTATTTTGATACATTTGTTCATTTGTCAAAGGGGGGGGGCGTCTTTATAATCAGATGAACAAAATTCATTTTTCCTATCGTCTAGTTGAGAATCTAGTCTGACATCAGTACTGTATTTAGTGGGACACATAGTAGCTGACTGGATTACGCTGAACTGCATTGCTGTTATTTAAGCTTGCTTACCCTCTTAATGTGGTCTAGGTGGTAGCACAGTGTTAACTTTACATGTAGATAAACAAGTAGCTGGCTAGATTATTGAATTCATTCATTGATTTATCCAGCACAGTTAGAAAATCACTAAGCTACTTCCTGGTATTGAATGCCTGCAGGCTGCTGTGAAGACCTTTCTGCCTGTGCTTGTGACATCTACTTCATAATGCAAGAACACTGTTTCCCCATTCGGCGCTAAGTCTGTACAGCACCCAAACATTACACAGAGTACTGTACAGAGTTGAAACTATATCACATGAACTGCTTAAAGTGTTAGATGTTGAGATTGTCTTACTAGTCTCTAAAAACTCTACACTGATATACTGAATAGCTTTTAGTTAATAGATAATAGATTTAATACATTCATGTATTCAACTAGATATACAATTGAATCAGTTGTATGTTTTAATGCAGTCAGATATCTCAAATGTGCTATTTGATATTATAATGTGCCACCGCAGGGGCTGTTGAATGTGTGTTGTGGACTGATGAACAAAACAGTCCTCAGGCAAACAGCTTCTGTGAACTTAGTTTTTTTTTGGGAGATCCAACAGAACACGAACAGTGGAGCACAGTGCTCCCACAGTCTATCTATGCCCGCATGTGTGACTTCCCAGAATCTGTTTTTAGGACTAGTTCATGTGCAGAAGTATGAGGGGCTAAGCGAGGCTCGTTAATGACATCAAATATGGGTGCGTTAATTGTTTGTGACAACTTCATTTAGTAATTAACTGTTAGGTTATTAGTCTTTTATTTTAACTAGTTGTAAAAATAAATTTGAATGTTGAGTAAATATTTATTTAGAAGCCATTGATTGTTGAGTTTGGAAAGGGAAATTGACTGCATGTTGAACTTGACATGTTATTTGAATATGTATATGTGGTGTGTATATTTTATTTAAATGCCTCTGGCAACTATTTATAAGCTGCTTATAATAGCAAAGTGCAGGTAGATGAAAATGAAATGACAGAATAATTTATCAAATATTTATTAACACCTTCAAAATTGTGGAATAATATTAAATATTAGTACTATATTACTAACATTAAATTCCCTACTTCAATATGTGCTCAATCTTTATGTGTCGCAACTGAAAAGTGTCATCATCATTAGTGATTAGTGACTAAAAGCAGTAGAATATGTAGTGGTACTTAATAATAAATCTCAGTAGTAGCACAGAAGTGAAAGCCAAATAATGACTTATTTAAAAAAGCTAAAGCTATTACTCATAGAAGGAGTGACTAATAAAACTTTGAAAATAACTTCCTGTTTATGTCTTTTGCCTGAAATTCACTGATATTATTCCATATTTTCATTGATACTCAAAAAGCCAACTCAAAGCGTGATTAATGGATTAATGTTGTGGGAGACATGGTCTAAATCAGGTTTTGCGTGAAATCTAAATTATACAACAGTTATATAATTATTATAGCCGAAGTGGAAATAATGAAAAGGCTACTATGAAACAAAACTTTAATAATTTGGAACCGCACCTTCTTCTAGGCTAATTTCTCCGATATAATGACAAGCTGTAATGAGGCCTGGCAGGAGAATGCAGTGTGTAACGAATAATGCAGATTTTAAAAATGCAAAATTACAAGTAAGATTTTGTTTCAAATAAAAAAATTGAAAAGTCTAGCAATTAACAACTGGCTGAATAATGCAGCTCTGAAATCAATGTTGACAGACAAGCAGATTCTTCACCGTCACTCTTTGCATAAGGAAAGTCGCTTACCAGAAAAAGGCATACATGACCAAGGCGTTCCCAGTAACCCCTACTGTTCCAATCACCAAGACAAAGAAGGCAACGATGTAGTGAGCGTGGTCCTGAACATCCACCTGCCGATAGAATCCGTGTTCCACATCCATTTCTGTGGACAAGAAACAGGCACACAGATGTCGGCATCAGTGGGTCTTTGTTCGTGTACAGTATGTCCAAGTGATTTCGTGCAATCCCGATCTTCCTGTCTGTCCCTCTGACCCACTAAACTCTCCGGCATTACGTAAGAGTTCTTACAACGATGAGCAAGTTAAATGTCTGGGGGATAAAATATACACAGATGTGACGGCATAATCTGCAACGCTCCATCTTTAGTTACCATGTCAACATTTTGTTTGTTTGTTTGTTTAGGTAATATGCAATTTAACATAGTTCCAATACAGAGTATGAAACCGTTGTTGTTGTTGTTGTTATTGTTTATTTTATAGTTATTGCTCATTTTCAGCTCTTGTCCATACTGTAGCCGGTCTTTTGTTTGTACAGTGTAATTAAAATAGTTAGTTTACCATGAATAAAACTATGATACACCAAATATATGGGTTAGGGTTAGGATCTAAAAAAGAGCGGTTAAACAAAATAACAAAAATAAGCAGATAAATACTAAAACAAAACAATTAACAATACAATACAATTAGCTAGAAATGGGTACAGCTCTGGTTTGCTTTTAGCAAGCACTTGACCTTTGTTGTAAAAGAATTTATATCTGGAGTTAATTTGATTTCAGTTGGTAATGTGTTCCAAAGTTGACAGATTGTATCTTTTCAGTATGTGACAGTGATGCCATCAGACAGGCTTTTTCTCCATTGCTTTCAATGCCTGATTGTATAAGGATGCGAGGGCTCTGACGGATGATGATAACACTTGAGCCCATAGTGTGACACAATTAGAAAAAATTCGAAAAATCATGGAGGGCATAAATAACTCGGCTGCCTGAGCGGGTATATAGTGTTTACATTTATTTGGTTGAGTCAGTTTACTCATGGTCATGTGAATGAATTTGTCTATGTAAGTTTTAACATTACATCAGATTTTACATTTTCTATCTATGTTTTAAGTTTTGATCGCATTCGCTGTTGCTTTGTATGTTTTTATGTTTTAGAGATGTACAAGTTCACTGCTCACATTTTGAACATATCCACTATTTCCCTTTAGGAAATCTGAGGAAATCCCCACATTTCTTCCCTGCACACTGTTGCACTGTTTTGAGACTCAGATGTGAATTTTTTTGAGTTTCTGTAGGTTTTGAGGGAAAGTCAGTGATGTTCTTGTGCCTCCATCACTTTTTGTCTATTTGGTTGGTTAGCAATTGCAGACTGTGTATCTCGCTGTCTTTTAAGCTAGCTGTATAGGGAATGCACAGGAGAGCTTAAAGCTGCTTACCTGAGCACTTTTAACCCTGCTAATGGCATAACTCTGTAACTCTACACATGGTCATGTCAGTCTGTTGGGCAGTAGGTTGGCTGGTCCACCACTATGGTGCAGACTGAAATTTCTGAACAACTACTGAATTAATTCTTTTGAAATTCTATACAGACAGTAACAGTCCATAGATGATGAATCCTACTGACTTTTCATATGGCACCACCATGAGGTTCACAATTGTGGTTTTGAGTGAAATTTCTCAACACATATTAGATGAATCAGAATTTACATGTTCATGCTCTCCTCAGTATCAAATGTTATAACTTTGGTGATCCCTTAACTTTTCCTCTATCGCCATCATCAAGTCCATCCCTCCATCCATCCATTAGCTAAACCACTAATCCTTTGAGGGTCGCAGGGGGCCTTTAGCCATTGATAGTTGACATTAGCCGAGAGACGGGTTACATATAGAACATGTTGCTGTTGCTGTCTGTGACAGAGCCTGTCATCAATTCAAAATTTCAATTGGTCCAATAGTTTGGTTTGTGTCATTCCCATCAGCCTCGCCTGCTTTTTTTGTGCTAATTCACAAATGTTAGCATGTTACCAATGTAAACCATGATGGTGAACATGGTAAAACATACTGGCTGTGCCTACATGAAGTGGGTGGAAGTGTCTAATTGTCAGTTTCAGAACGTTAAAGAATTTGTCAGATGAAGCCACCCCAATTTCAACATCGGGAGGGTTTTATGGGCGGGGGTTTCCGGAGCTATTTGTTCCATTCCAACGGCAGTTCTGATGGAGTATACTGGAGTACAGCCTCGCAGAACTGCAAGCATGGCTGGAGACGTGCAGTTTTATTTGCACACCAGGGGCCAAAAATATTGAACCCTGCATATGCACAGAAACCATGCATGCACCATTCCTCATACATAAATGATATTTCTCAAAACAGAATGCATGGTGAGAATACATGCAACTCATGCATACAGACAAGCCTTACTCATGTTTCTCAGTGGATCTGAGAGTAATACAGTGAGGTGGACTTGTTTTTTTTGTGTTTCTGTTTGTATTTTGTCCTTTATTGCGAAGCAGATGGTAAAGGATGTTTCAATGTGAGCGCTATAAACGAAGCCACTAATTATCTTTCTTATTTCTAATAACGATGAGCTAATGATTGTTTACATGTATATGTGGTGAAGACTAGTTGAATGATAAGGGTGCTGTAAAAAGCTTCAGTGACAGCTGTTGTTGGTAATCTGTAAAATGACATGACTCACCTGTCAGTGAGTGGTCTAAAGAATGGTGGAGGAAGCAGAAGTATTGGGTTGATTAAGGGTGTGTCTACATCTCTCTGTGGCTAACATTGGGAGCAAAAATGAGGCTTGTGGACATGAGCCTACAGTGACTAAGATTTATAAATGTGACAAAGAGAATGCACATTTATATTACTGGGTTCTACACTTCTACCTCTAGATCTTTTTTTTTCTTTCATGGCTTTTTAGCCTGTATTTAAGCTTTTCAGTTCTTCACGTCTTCTAGTTTATCTTATATATACAACATGTTGTTGACCGATGAAGAAAGATTTTACAATTTCCCGCTGTTTACTTGTAAATTAATTACTAGTTTTACAGCTTGCTGAATCAGAGGGATTATGACAGTCAGTGCCTTTTAATATCAATTACTCACCCTTGCAAACTGTAAAATCGTTTGGCTAAGTATTAATCACGGTAAGAGTTGAAGAGCAGTGAAGCTGTCATGGCCTTTCTGGTCAGAGGGGAGATCCTCACTCAGTATTATTGAACTGATTTGCTTTGGGTGTTTTTATGAGGCAATTCTTAGGACAGCCAACAAATGACAGAGAGAATGAAGAATTTTTATGAACAACTCGAATAAGTTATCATGGCTTTTAAAAATGGATGGCAGTGTGGCAGACAAGATGTCTAAAAGTGTACCAGTAAGTTTCTGCCATAAATGCCCAATGATTGATGCACTGTATGTGACTGAGAAATATTTAACCAAGAGGTGATTAAGTCAAGGCATTATTGATAATGAAAAAATGGCTGTATGGACCTTGCTGTTCCATGCAGCCATTGCTCAGCTGCAGCAGTGATTATAAGAGGATTTCTATGTTTTGTTAATGTGATGGAATCAGGAGCGCACATTGAGTCACGCAATATTAACAGCATTTATCCTATGTAAACCCGCTTTCTATCTGTCTCTGATCTGCATTATAGAAGGGAGTTATAGGTGGCAGTGCATCGCAAAGCTCTCTACCACATCAATTTCAGAAGCTGCCATAAAACATCTGTCATGTATCACATTAATAATTTGTTTGTTCCAGAACAAAAACATGTTAAAAACTGTGACCGCTGCTGACTCAGAGTCTGATCTAAAATTAGGCTGTGTGATTATACTGTACTTAATCCAGCAGAGCAGGAGTGAATCTGACTCAAAATACATGTACATGAGCAGCATGTTGCTGTGCCTGATATGTCTTAATGTTTTTGCAATAAAAAATATATTATATACAGCATGTGCTGCTATTAAAACATTCAATTACACTATATTCTGTAAATTGATAGTGCAGCATTTTCTGTTGTGGTGTAAAAAATTAATACTTAAGCATTACAGCACATTGGGTGAAGGACACATGGGCATGCAGAGTGTCAGATCCACACAGGGAGCTCTTGCTGTGCTCAGTGAAGCCTTGTGCGTCAGAGGAACCCTCAATCACTTCTTACTTCCCTTCATTGGGCATCAAAGCATTGTCTCATATGAGAGGCTGAAGTCACATAAATCAAATACATATCCGATAAGGTGGGACTGTGCTCACTTTAAAGGTGACATGTACCGTTTACCGTCTCTGAGGAACATTACATAACTGAGACAGGTGCTCTGCAACGTGTTCGCATTCATTCAAAAACTGCTAATATGAAGTTCATGTTCATGGAAAGCAAATGGATCGAAGAGGACGAATAAGCTAGTATTCGTAGTGAAGTGTCTAAAGGAAATTACTGTGATTTAGAAAAATGCTGGTTTACACTTGTTAAGTTGATATTAAAATACACAATGTATTAAGAAACTGCATACCTTCTCTTAAATAATTTAAAGAAACTCTCTTGACAAATGTACTGGTAAGCATTACACAGATCATAGGTGGAATCAACAAGTGTGTGTCAGAGATTTTCTTTCTTATGAGAATTTCACCCTTTTCTCTGCTTCAATTCTAAATTTTTAATTGAAGTTATTCTTGCATTGCATTCAGGAAGGAATCTGCCCTTATTGAGACACCAACATGAAACTGGTACAACAAGCAAACTGAAACAAAACAAACATGTCTTAGCTGGAATATGGACACCCCTGATGTTTCTGTAAAATTCTTACTTTAAAAAAAACAAACAAGACACAATTATTAAATTAAATACATCTTTTTGTTTTCTTAGTTTGCTCCATACTTTTGATTTGAAATGGATTTACTCTAAAATACACTGGTTTACATATGAGTATATAACAGCAAAAACTACAGAAGGAGGTTCCCATCAAGTCAAACTAACCTCTCGTCTGTAAAACTGAGTCATTCTATTAATAAAAACATTACTTTACCTTATCTGGAGTGAAGCCCCTTTTCCTCTCCAGGGCACCTCTGTGTTTGCAGAGTGGAGTGGTGAAGAGGATCAGAGACACTGAGGCTGTACAGCATGTAAAAACTGGTGAAAAATCCACCACGCTT